CTAGAAAGACCCGCAAAAATCTAGAGATTGTGCAACTGTTGGGAAAATGGCTTACGTATGTAAGCATCCTAAAAAACAGATAGGGAATTTGAAAAAGACAATTAGGTGCCAAATTGACATGCTAATCACCTCCAAAGCTATCTAGATATTTGGTACCCGAAGAAAAGATGAAAAGTAGATTCCTCAGAACTATGACATAAACAACAAATGGATGCCAGAGAAATCCCACGTTGTTGTAATGCACCTTAGGTAGGAAGTTTGTCATCAACAAGCCACCAAGCCAAAATAGACAGTCAAGACGGAATAAAATGTCGCCAAATAGCCTTAGCCCAAGCACAATCGCTATTTTTTTTTTCTAGAATAAGTTGACAACCAGAAGAAAATGAAAATTTCCCAGTAGACAACGGCTCCCAGATCAGTTTGTTGTCCTCTACATTTAAAGGCAAAGCTAAACGAAGAATCTGTTGGGCCATAAAAGGGAATAAATCTACAAAAATAATTTGGTAAATACCACATTTGAGCTTCAGTAGCATTTGAAATCCAAGGAAGAACTGATGAAGGGCCAATAATCAGGCCATCCAACCATTTGTCGAACCAAAAAGAGACTGACCTCCCATCAACAATAATTAATCTAAAGACTATTATTATTCAGAATAAGTAAAACACGCTTCAAACCATGCCACACAGAAGACCGTAAATACATATCTTGTTTTTTGTAAGATGTAAGAGGAAAAACGCTAACGTGTGAAAGAACCCCACAAAGAAGAAGATTGTAAAGCATCCCATCCAAAACTAAGTAAAGCCGCCAAGTTCAAAGCAGCCAAATCACGAAGACCAAGCCCACCTTCATGCTTAGGTCCACACACCATACTCCAATAAACAATTACTAATTTTCGGGAAGCCAAGTGTCCTGACCAAATAAAATTTTGTGCACAAGTAGAAAGATGCTTTAAAAGGCAAGCTGGCCATTGATAAACTGAGAAGCTATGAAGAAACAAGCTTTGATAAACAGATTACACCAATTGGAGCCGTCCAGCCATTGAGAGAAGTTTACCTTTCCACCCTGAAAGGCGAGCTTTAGCCTTATCTACCAAAGCTTGAAAATGAATTCTCTGTGGCTTACCATGAAAAATGGGAACACCAAGATAAGTGAAAGGAACAACACCCATACGAAAGCCAAGATGTCTCGCGATATGCACAAATTGTGAGCAAGACAAAACATATGTGGCGTGTCATTTTCCAAAATTGAAAGACGAGCTGACTGTAATAAAACATGCACAAATTCCACAAAAGTACAAGAAAACACAAAGCTAGAAAGCACGTGAGGAAGAACATTCCAATTCAAAGTATCAAAAACTTTAGCAATATCTACTTTTATGCCCATATTCCCACCAAATGCCTTTTTATCCTCTATGTTTTGCTTAAAGAGTAAATTGTAGCAATGGTCTCTTAACTTTAATCAAATTGAAGCAATGGTCCCTTAACTAAAAACTCATTACCATTGTTCTCTCAACTCATCAAAATGTGTAGGTATGGTCATTTTCGTCAACTTCATCAGATTTTTGTCAAAATAAGTCATGTTGGAACGGCCATTGCTACAATTGGAGTCTCTCAACTCATCAAAATGTGTAGCTATGGTCATTTTCGTCTCCTTCATTAGAAATTTGTCAAAATGAGTTATGTTGGAAGGACCATTGCTACAATTGGGTTAAAGTTGAGGGATTATTGCTCTAATTAGGTTAAAGTTAAGGAACATTTCTCCAGTTGGATTAAATTTGAGGGACCAATGATAATGAATTTTTAGTTGAAGGGCTATAGCTACACGTTTTGATGAGTTTAAGGACCAATGGTAATGGACTTTTAGTTGAAGAACTATTGCTCCAATTGAGTTAAAGTTAAGGGGCTATTACTCATTGCTACAATTTACTATTTACTTAAAATTAGGTTATATTCCATTTTCAAGCTTCAACACCACCACCCCCCCCCCCCCCCCCCAAATTTTTAAGTTAAGGGACTATTACTCATTGCTACAATTTACTCTTTACTTAAAATTAGGTTATATTCCATTTTCAAGCTTCAACACCAACCCCCCCCCCCTTTAAAGTTAAGGGACTATTAGTCATTGCTATAATTTACTCTTTACTTAAAATTAGGATTTTAGGGTGATTTAATCAAGTTATGCTCAGATCTAAGTACTCAATTACTTATACATATTCTATCCTTCCCCTAAATCCTCTTTTTAATATCTTTTTCTCTAACTTTTCTATTCTCGATTTGGTGGATTAGGGTTTAGAATTTAGGGTTGCTACTATTTGCCCATGTGCACTAGCTTTTGTTCAACTTTGTCAAGGACTCTTAGTTACTATTATTAGACTCTTATCACTATTACGTGTAGTTGGATCGTTGAATGTTGATTCTTTCTTAGATATGCTCAATACTCATTAGTAGGTTCATCATGGTCAAATTTGTGGAGTTTCATGACTCTGCAATTTCGATTCGTAGTTGTAGCCATGACTTAGGTTTATGTGCAGTTCGTTTCCATCCTATTTAAGGATAACAATCTAATTTGAATAATACTTGAATTCCCCCTTTGGGGTTAAGCTTATTCTCTCATTTACAAATAACATAGCTTCACCATAGAAAATTCATAATCATAACCGTTCAATTTCTTAATCTTCATTTACAAAAAAGAAAATCATCCGAATTGGAGACCATTTAGTCATTCAAATAAATAAATGATATAAATACCAAGTAACATATTGACGATAAACCATTCATTTATTTGATACATTTGCATGACTAAACGATTACGATAAATGATTTTTTTGTAAAGGTGATTTTCAAATGAAGGTTAAGAAATTGAACATTTACGAATATGAATTTTCTACTATAAAGAACATTATTTGTAAGTGGGATAATAAGTTCATCTCCTATGGAAAATGCAAGTATATATTACTCATCTAAAGATCCATATAATCTACGAAACTTATTATGTTAGGATATATGCTACATGTAGATACCAATGGGATTACCAACTAGCTATGTATTCCATATTTCCTTCTCTTCTTCTATTGTCCTTCATGATCTCTCTCTATCTCTCTCTCATTAACCACTAAGAAAGCTTCTATTCATTCATTTCCTTCCCGTTGATAGTGAACTCATCCACCAACAATATCTACAAGGGGTGTGATATCCACACACCTCTTTTTACTTCTCACACCTTTGTTAATTTCTACCCTTTGATCTTCTTTAGTTCAATCGATCTGATGCTCGTGAATTAAGAGGGTGTATGTGAAGTAAAAAAGAGTATGTGGGTAGCACACCCCTATCTACAAACCATGGTTGGTTTGCCACCATTAATATGAAAATATGTTCAATTTGCAAGGAACCATCGTTATCTTTTTCTTTATATATATGGACGTAATCTAACCCAAGAATATCCCTCATAACTCTAATCCTCTTATCCCTCATGTTTATCACACCCTAAAATGTAGTTTTCATTCTCACAAGATGAAGAAAAATGTGGAATAAAAAGTTCATGACCCACATCACATGCATGTTACCTGCATGCACTCTACACTTATAATATGCCCTACGTACGTATGTGGAGCAATTATCGATGGGGTCAGATAATAAGGCAACCTCTTTTGTAAGCATCCTCTTTTAGAGTATAATCAAGGGTAGATATAGTGCCATTTGTCAACTCAATATAGGTGTAGTTAGTTGTGATTGTTAGAAAGGCGATTATGATGTATGGCTTTTCTATAAATATCAATAGGATGTAATAACTTCTATAAGAAGAAATAAAGAACAGTTTACAGAAAAAATCTCTCTCTCCCCTTTAAGTGTTCTCTTTATCTCTCTAAATTCCTTCAATTCTTGATCAATGGTTGATGCTTAACATGGTATCCATCGCAAGTGTTGCTTGCGCATCTTCGATCCTCTAGTTGCTTCCGCTACTCATTGCTCGTCGAGTTCTTCGTCTTTTTCCCATAGTGATTTTTGCAATTGGTGTTGTGGTTCTTCAAAGATTGGTATCTTCTTATTCGATTTCTAGGGTTTCTGGTACTGTCATCTTCGATTCTCTTCAAGGTTACAAATTTTTCTGCTCGTCTGGTGTTTGTGATATTGCCTCAGTTAAATCTCTCAATTGATATACGAAATTATGGTGACTGTTTCTCAACTTCAGATTGTTCAATCTCCCATAACATCTCTTGTTTCCACTGTTTCTGCATCTGTTCATGTGAAATTGGATGATTCTAATTACCTCAATTGGCAATTTCAAATGCAATTGTTGTTGGAAGGACATGGGATTATGGGATTTGTTGATGGGTCTACCCCTTGTCCTGCTCTTTTTGTTCAACATTCTGGAAATTCTAATGTTGATAATAACAATGAGACTTGTTCATCTACTGTTGAAAATGAGGATTACATTGTCTGGAAAATGCATGATCGGGCTTTAATGTAGGGCTGGGTTCGGTTCTCATCGGTTCGGTTTTTTCTCAAAACCGAAATCGAACCGAAATTTCGGTTCGGTTCAATTTTATTTCGGTTTTTTTCGGTTCGGTTTCGGTTTTATTTTTTATTTTTTCCTCCAAAATTATGCCTAGACTTCTTATGAAGCCACGGCCAACTCAGTGCCTGGTTTTTCTAAGAACAGATCCCCCAAACAACAAGCTCCATCCAGAGACCTACAGCGTAAGAAAGCAACCTAATTCCAATGTCCTTCTGAAAGAAATTGACATTCACATGCCACAACAATCACATTTCATAAATGTTAAGCGTTCTTGAAATGTAATACACTATATGAAGTAGCACCTGAAGAAATGGAAAACTTGCTAAACTTGCTTGTTGTGCTTGTTGGTTCTATGAAGAACTAAACAACCAAATTTTATACCGTATTAAGATCTAGCAAACATCACCCCAGTCCTGATGCAGAGTCGGTACCTGCTTTTCACCTAGCTTAATGACACCACTCTCAATAATAAGCACAGTTTTTCCAACACCAGCACCACCGAACAACCCAATCTTTCCTCCTCTTTGGTAGGGAGCAAGAAGGTCGACGACCTGTATATGAAGCAGATAACATAAGTATACTAAACATACACAGCACCACATAGAATCCAAAGGCAGTGGAGAAGAAAAGCACTAAGAGGATCGAATTCTATTACATTAGTTATGACAATAAAGGTTCATGCTAATACCTTGATTCCAGTAACAAGGATCTGCTGCTCCGTTGCTTGCTCAACAAAGGCAGGAGCTTCTCTGTGAATGGGCAGAAAGTGATCGGTGCCTGTTGGAGCGTTCATACAGAAATTGTCAGAAAGCTTGAGTGCAATGCATTAGCATATTGCAACAGAACATCCACACGACACCATCAAGTGATTATTTATTTTAAGTTTCACAAATTTCTTACTGATGCAACAGAATGCTAAATGATAAAAACTAAAATGGATAAATAGGAAAACTCCGACGAAAAGATCACAAATCAATCAAAACCCATCTCATTTCTATCAATACAATCACCAAAGTCAACATTTTGCCATCGAACACTAAAACCCTAACATTTCTCATCAAATCAGTAAGAATAGACAGGATAACAAGAATATATAGATTACAGTGATCGGAGAACCGGTGTTGAGCACGCGCTGTCCTCTCACAAGCCCCTCAGTCTCATCCATAGCAATGGTCCTGACCATGCTCTTACCCAAGTGCTGAGCCACCTCGAGCACCAACTGGATCGAGTTGTCCAGCACCTTAAGCGCGGTCAAGATCGGGGGAAGCATCTGCAAGCAGAGTCCTTGAAGGAGATGCAGGACGCCTTGGGACCCAGAATTCGGTTGATGTCGTTGCGGTTGTAGAGCTCGTAGTCGAAGCCCTCTGGGACCTTGATCACCTTCGACGGGTCGCCGTCCTGGACGATGATGAGGTGGTACTGCTGGAAGAAGGGCCTCCACATCTCGAGGAAATCGAGGTTTCGGATGGTGGGGATGACGATGTCGAGCTGCAGCTGCTTCTCAACGACGGAGAGCGAGAGAGAGGGAGGGAGAGAGAGATGGGTTGGAGTCTAGAGAGGAGAGGGAGGGAAGAGAGGCAGGGAAGGGGAATGAAAAATAAGGAGGAGGAGGGTTAGGGTTACAATAAAAAGATTAAAAATTTTAAAATCATCTCACAAATCCTGGAGGCATGAGGGTTCGAACCCATGCCTCCATGCTTGTAAAGTTTCACTGAAACCAACTTGGCAACAAGTTCTGTTTTGTTATGATTGTATGACTAAACTATTTATAAATATTCAAAAAAATTATATATATATCGGTTCGGTTCGGTTTCCAAGCCTCAAAAACCGAAACCGAACCGGTCAGATTCGGTTCGGTTCGGTTTGACAATTTCGGTTCGGTTTTTTTTCGGTTCGGTTTTTTTCGGCCTCGGTCCGGTTCGGTTGTCGATTTTTTTCGGTTTTCGATTTTTTGAACCCACCCCTACTTTAATGTAGTTGATTACTGCAACTTTATCTCCAGTTGCTGTCTTTTGTGCTATTGGCAGTGTTACTTCTCAAGATTTATGGACTAGATTAAAGGAACAATTCTCCACTGTTTCTTGAACTAGTATCTTTCAAATGAAGTCCAATCTACAAACAATCAAGAAAGGGTCTGATAGTGTGTCTCAGTATGCAAAAGATTAAAGAAGCTCGAGATTATCTTTCTGCTACCGGGGTACACTTTCCAGATGAGGATATTGTGATTCTTACACTTAATGGATTACCTCCTGAATATAGTACTTTTGGATGTGTGATTCGGGGCTGTGAGAATGTTATATCTCTTAAGGAGTTCAGATCTTAACTTCTTGTTGAGGAGCTCATTGTTGAAACTTTTTCATAGTCCACTTTTGTCTGCTATAGTTGCAAATCATTCTTCTGCTACCAAAAGATCTATATCTTAGTTTCATAATAATCCTGGTCAATCTAGTTTCTTCTCAGGAGAGAACTGACAGTTTAATCATAACAAACAAAAGGGCATGGGCAAGTTTAATCAAGGAGTCAAATTCAACAGACAGTCTTATAATGTGTATCCTAATTCCACTTCAGGAGTTTTTGGTTCTTCTCTAAATTTGTATGATGGTGAATCTCTTCCAGTCATCTGTCAGCTGTGCAACACATATGGTCACTCTGCATCTTTTTATGGATCAAGATCTCCATCAAAACAAGGCTGTCATATCTGTGGAAAGACAAACCACTCCACTTGCTTTTGTTTTTATAATGAAAAAGGGCCAAATTACATAGGTGTTTCTCAGTCTCATCAATTCAATGCCTCTTATGCTTTTTCTAGATATCCTTCACAAGTGCCAATGTCTTCTTGTCAATCTCCAAATATGCCTTACATGCATGCTATGAATACTATGGTCTCTCATCAACCACTAGGCTCTTCTTCTCAAAATTCTCCTCAATTTTGGCTTGCAAATTCAGGGGCTTCAAACCATATGACTTCTAACTTTAAAAATCTGTCTTTGGCTTCCCCATATCCAACTACTGAGCTTGTGCAAACTGCTAATGATGAAGGTTTGAATGTGTCTCATGTTGGCAGCAGTGTTATAAAGCCTTCCACTTATCCCATTAAATAGAATTCCATTTTATATGTACCAAAGTTAACTCATAACCTGTTATTAGTTCATAAAATATGTCTTGATAACAATTGTTGGCTCATTTTGATGCCTATTATTTTTAGATCCAGGACAAACCCACAGGGATAATCTTACGTAAAGGCCTGTGCAGTAATGGACTTTATCCCATACCAACTCTTACTCAATCTCGATCTTCAATTCATCAAGCTATTGCATATCTTAGACAACTTGTCAATTCCAGTGTTTGGCGTAAACGTTTATGTCATCCTTCTAATACTACTACCTCATTGATGCTGAAAAATGCCAATATCACATATGATAAAGACGTTGTTTCCACTGTGTGTCAAAGTTGTTTAGAGGGTAAATTCACTAGGTTACCTTTTTCACCTAGAACTCATCAATCTTCCATTCCATTTGAAATTGTACACAGTGACCTTTGACATCCTGCTCCTTGTACTTCTATAGATGGTTTCAAATATTATGTCACACTAATTGATGAGTGTACTCATTTTTGTTGGATATTCCCTTTTATCAATAAATCAAATTTCTTTGACACCTTTGTGAGTTTCTGTTCTTATATACATACTCAATTTTCTACTATTGTCAAAACATTACAAACTGATGGTGGTGGTGAGTAACACCAAGGCATTCTACATCACAAATCCTGCATCCACACCCCAACAAAATGGTTTGGCGGAGAGAAAACACAGGCATGTTATTGAAACCGCAATCACACTACTTCAACATGCTTCTCTACCTTCCAATTTTTGGTTTTTTGGTTGTCAAACTGCTTTTTACCTTATAAACAGAATGCCTATCCCCATTCTACAAAATAAATCTCATTTTGAAGCTTTATATGGCAAACTCTCCATCATCTCACATCTTAAGATCTTTGGTTGTTCATGTTTTCCCTTTCTCAAACCTTATAATGCAACTAAATTACAACCAAAGACTACTAAATGTGTTTTCCTTGGTTATGCTTCTCAGTACAAGGGTTATATTTGTTTTGATGTTTCTCGAAACAAGTATTACATATCCAGGCATGTGGTGTTCAATGAGTTAGACTTCCCATATAAAGACCTGATTTTTCATAATCATAAGTCCATTCTGCCTGAGTCTTCGAGCAATCTTTTTCATTCCACTTTCATTCCCACACTAGATAACATTTTGGTTTCTTCCTTATCTAGAAGTTCTATTTCAAATCATACACATCCTATTTTTACAACTCACGAGTCAATGCCATTGACACCAATTTCTCTTGCGGTCTTCTATTGATATGTTCCTCAAAGTCCTCTTGTTTCTCAGCCACAAATGTAATCACAGTCCATTACTATTGGCCCCAATTCTTCCTCTACACTCCCTATGGATTCTACACATAGTCCTGAGGATTCTATACCTATTGATTTAGTAAGCTCAACATTTTGTCCAGAGAATCTGCAAGTGGTCATTCTTGTTGCTCCCATTAACTCGCATTCTATGCAAACTCGGAGCAAAAGTTGTATCATCAAAAGAAAGGCATTACTTGCTGCCTTGGAGGACTCCAATGAAGTAGATCTATTAGCTATTGAACCTACATCTTATAAGAATGCTCTTAAGGTTCCAATTTGGTACAAGGCTATGCATGAGGAAATAAATGCCCTTCATCTTTAAGGAACTTGGTCCTTGGTCTCCTTACCATCTCAGAAGAATCTTGTAGGCTGTAAGTGGGTGTTTAAACTAAAAATGACTGCTGATGGTTCCATTACATGACATAAAGCTCGTTTGGTTGCCAAAGGTTTTAGTCCTGTGGTCAAACCAACCACGGTGAGGTTAGTTTTATCTCTTGCTGCTCAGTTTGGCTGGCCTCTCAAGCAAGTAGATGTGAAGAATGCATTTTTGCATGGTTTTTTGCAAGAAGAGGTCTATATGTCACAGCCTCAGGGGTTTGAAGATTCTAATAATCCACATCTTGTTTGTAAGTTTCACAAGTCTCTCTATGGCTTGAAACAAGCCCCTCGTGCATGGAATGAATGGTTCACTGTATTCCTTCCAACAATAAGATTCAAATCAACATACTCATATTCCTCTCTATTCATAAATACAATTGGCAGTGCAGTTGTGATTTTATTATTATGTGTTGATGATATTATAATTACTGGAAGTTCAATGACTGTTATACAATAGGTTATTTGTTTTCTTACTTCTGAGTTTGATCTTAAAGATCTTGGGGTTTCTCTCACAGTCTCAGTATATTCAAGTTCTATTGCAGAAGACAGAAATGATCGAATCCAAGCCTTGTGAGACTCCCTGCTTACCTTATAATAGACTTTTGAAGGATGATGGCATTCCATATACCAATCCTACTACCTATAGAAGCATTGTAGGTGCTTTACAATATCTTACATTTACTCGTCTAGATATCTCATTCTCTGTGCACTAACTATGTCAGTTTATGCAAAACCCTATGGTGTCTCACTTCACTGTTGTAAAGAGAATATTAAGGTATTTGAAAGGCACCATGCAGCTTGGTCTTATCTACTCCAAGAGTGACTTGACAATCCGAGCCTTTAGAGATGCTGATTGGGCAGGTGATCCAAATGATCGAAGGTCAACCATTGGTTTGGTGGTGTTTCTTGGTGCAAATCCTATCTCTTGGTATTCCAAAAAATAGCAAACTGTCTCTCGATCTTCCACAGAGGCTGAGTATGGGGCCATGTCTACTACATCCGCTGAGATTGATTGCATCTTACAACTCCTTTTGTTCCTACAGGTTCAA